AGAGAGCCCGATGCGGGACTCGATCCCAGGACCCTGAGATCATGACCCGAGCCGAAGGCAGCGGCTTAACCCACTGAGCCACCCAGGCGCCCCATATCCATTTTAGATTGTATCTCATTTCTTATTTATCTTTCTCTCATCTTTCCTTATAAAATAAAAAACCATTCTTCATATTACTCTTAGGTAATTTGGCCTCAAGGAATCTTATCTAGGATCGGAGAAAATTCCCTGAAATATGAGTGACTATAAGATCAGTTTTTTAAATGAAAAAATAATAAAAAGAGTTTTAATGAGTTGACAATAGTTTTGAAGTCACAATATGAAGGAATATTCCCATATATTCATTTTAATTCCTCTGGAAATCTTGGAGATGCTCTGCTCTTAGGTAGAACCTGGATAGAAGGACAGACTGCTGATCTTAGATGTAGGTATGTTCTGTCTGACCTCTGAACTCCTCTTAGCTGCTGTGTCCTTGTAGTATTTCTATTCCTGACCTATCAAAACTTGCTCTTAGGAGAGAATCTGCTATTAATCACTTATTCTTTGGTGAGATATTACCTAGCTTTTATGAGGTTTTCTTTCATGTTTGTGTAAAAAAAGATTTATTTCCTATGCTACCCTCATTGCCTCCTACTTCACACACAAATCATACAGGATAAACTTCTACCTGTGGTTAAGGACAAGTCAGTCTGTGGGAGTTCTTCAAAAATAAACGTATGAGAAAGGAATTAGACCTACTGCTAGGATCAACACTGTTCTTCCCTGTTCTTCCCTGGGGAAAAGTGTCTGCTAAAGTGAACCTAAAAAGAAAACCTAAATAATTTGGCAGCATAAACATTATAATGCAGGGAGTGTAAATCAGAGAGGAGTGTCTCTTCATCCTGAACTATGTAATTATCGTTAAAGAATAAAAAATATTTTATTTTATTTTGGGGGGGGGTGCAGTATTCTTTAGAGCGGTACCAAAAAACAAATAAACAAACCCACAAAGAAACATAAACCTCCTTTAAATAGATACCAGTGAATTATCTTGACAGGAAGAAAAAACCTGACAACCATATAATTCCACATGTTCTGATAACATCAAGAAAGGACTCAAAAAGGAATCTGCACCTCAGAATTGTAGGATATTGAGAAGACTGTTGGGTTGGGAGGAGATAATGATTAATAGTGACTATTAGACTCAGAATGAAGAGTCACATGCATCAAACTCTTTCCATTAAAAAGAGTTAATTTATATTCAACCGATTGCAAAAATGATTAAGTCTCTCTTACCAATGAGTAAAGTTATCATTAAACCTATTTCTTTCATGATAACTATTATGAAAGTGAAAAGATGTCACTCATCTTTCCCTTTTTCTTCTATGGTAGTTAAAATAATCATTCTTTGACTTGTACAATTTATCAATTGTATATTTTAAAAAAGATTTTACTTATTTATTTGAGAGAAAGAGAGAGAGTACAAGTGAGGGGACAATGCAGAGGAAGAGGGAGAAGCCGGCTCCCTGTGCAGGCTCCCCATTGACATGGGGCTGGATCGCAGGACCCTGGGATCATGATCTGAGCCAAAGGCAGATGCTTAACAGACTGAGCCACCCAGGCGCCCCTGTTTATCAATTTTAGACCTACTTTTGAGTATGTTATTCGTTTTTATTTTTGATGAGATAATACCTACTTGCCATTACATCACATACTTCATTATAATCTCATTGACATCATAATTTAAAAAAATAGGCTTCTCTAGGTGGACTGGAATTTGTCTACACTTCAGTGATATACCCATATCAATTACTATGAAGTTATTGTGTTATTTGCAATGAGGACTTGCCTTCTGAAAGTATGGTAGGAAACCCTGAAATGCTTTTCAAAACCATTAGTGCTAGAAATCAACACTGTGTGTTGGATTTAGAGATGAATACAGAGGAAGAGACTGAAGCATAACTTTTAATTTGGTGTGTATAAACTGAGGCCTAGGAATAGCTAGGGGCTGTCAGTTTATAAATTTTCCAATGTTTTCTTCAAGGCCTCTATGGGTATGGAAGATTATTTACTTCCTTTGTTGAAATTTTAAGGTTGTGGACAGTAAAAACCATTTGCTGTATTTTCTTTCTTTCCTACCATGATTCTTTGGTTGGGGGGCTAAGATTACAAATCAACAAAAAAGCCAGGCTGGAGCATTTGTACCAAGTCAGACTGAAGTCCACTAGGGATGGGACTAGAAACCAGGAGGCAGTTTTTGGCAGAGGAGCACGCATGATCCCATTTGGGAAGGGCGGGGATAAAACAGAATTTAGCAGCAATTACCACTACTGTCTATTTAGCTCTGAATGTAGATAAGCTTGGCATCCCTTGGCTTGGGTGCTTGATAAGTGTTCTCTGCTTTTATACACAGAGATTTATAGCAGTAAGTATTTGCACTTTTAAAATAAGTTTTACATGGCTGAAAGTTACTGTTTGGCATCCTCTTTAGTTAACAAAACCATCCTAGATAGATTAGGGCCCAACTATACCTCACTCAAAGACAACCCTTGCAAATCTACCTTCGTATATCCTATCTCTAATATTTGAGAGTTACTGCTCTTCTTCTATCCTACATGTAGTAGCTAGCCTCCAAAATGGTCCCCAATAATCCCTGCCTGCTGCTATTCACATCCTGTGTCTCCCCTTCCATGATGTACTAGGGTTGGTCTGTCTGACCAACAGAAAAAGACATAAATGATGGTATGTTATTTCCAAGACTAAATTATAAATGACTGTGGCCTCTATCTTATGTGCTCTCTCATCTGCTTGGTCTCTTCTTTCTCTTTCTCTCACTCTCCGTCTCAACACTTACTCTGTGGGAAACCAGCTGCCATGTCATGATAGCATCAAGGAAGCCTACCACAAGAGAGGCTTGTAATGGAGGCTGGCTAACAATCTTGTGAAGTGAACTTGGAAATGGACTCTTTGACTCTAGTTGAGCCTTGAGATGACTGCAACTCTGGCCAACAGCTTGACTGCAACATCCTAAGAGACTGTGGGCTGGAACAACCTGCACGAGCCACTCCTGGGTTCCTGACTCTTAGATACTATATGAGATCATAAGTGTTTATTGTTTTAAGCTGCTAAATTTTAGCAATCGATAACCAGTGTACTAAGTGTACTGGATTATGTACTGATGTGTACTGAACTGGGAAATACTGGCTTTATGTTAGGTTGAAGAAATGACCTCTCTTACTGTCTTTGCAGGTGGCAATTAATTTCTCATCAGTGTTTTTTCAGGGTGCTTTGCAAAGCTACTGCAGACAGTAATTGACCTGATGATGTCTTATTCCCTGACAGAGTTCATTCAAATCGTGAAGGACAAAAACATTTTTCTCTGGTATCTATTTACTCATGTTGGTTCACCATTGGACCTGACCTTGCAATTATGTCTTCTGAGTGGATAAGCAGCACAATGTATTTTATAGCTGTTTTTATCATCTCTCACTTTCACAAACATGGGGTAAGAGCAGTTTCATTCAAGAGAAATCATGGCATGAAAGTTAAAAACTACTTGGGGCTACTAGAACCACTGATCAATTTACATTTATGAAGTAACACACTATTAGCATATTTGATATCTGAGTGTTGGGAAAGGTCATTATGTATGCTGAGATTTTTTTTCTCCTTCTTTACACTTTACAACGCTTTCTAGAAACTTTAGAATCTGTATTGATTGTTTTTGAAGTAGTAATAAAAAAGACGGAGCTAACATTTAAAATGTAATTCTTAAGCTTCTTATTACAGAAAATTTTAAACATATATAAAACGAAAGAGTATGTGAATCCTCAGGTAGCCACCACCCAGCTTTAAGATGGCTAATTTTGTTTGGACTATTCTCTAATCTGCTTGCTGCCTTCCTGGATCACCTGCACTAGATTATTTGGGTAAAAACCCAAAACATCACATTTTTCCATAGATAAGGTAATTTTAATAATCTTTCAAAGCTAGGAAGCAGAAACTTACCTGTTGTTCTTATGGATTGGTTCTAAGGAAAATGTGCCTTAGCTGAAATATATTTTTATTCTAAGCAAGTTGTGTAACTGGTTTTTGACCTATATTTTATGAATTCCTGTAAGCTAACATGGAATTTTCACACAACATTATGGTAGTTTTATGTATTCATATGTGGAATTCTGGGTTTCTGAAATTTTTTTCCTGACATTTTAAGATCTGCTGGAAGATCCACAGATTGTTTATAATAAACAAACACCCTTGATAATGGAGTCCTCTTTAGAAAATCATGATTAGAACTTGGGATGGAGCCGACTACAAACGTATTTGTAGCTAAGTAGCAAAAGGGCAGGTTAATGGGTAGCCACTGAAGGCTGATTTCCCTGACCTCTTAAAAGTACCACCCAGAACTAGTATACAAAGTGATTCATTCACTCAAACATCTTCCTGTCCCTTTGATAGAACCTCTGGCTGCTGTGGGGCCTAGATGTCTTCATGATTATTATTGCATCTGGTGTCATGTTTTTCCAGCTGGTGCACCGTCTCCCCGTAGGAGATTTTTTGATGTTCATCCCTCTACCAGCCTCCTGCTTGCTCTCTGGAGGCTCATCCTATGACCCTACTCTATCCAGGCAACCTTCTAACTTGAACTGTGGCTAAATATATGGGCTTAAAAGCTGTTTATGGATCACATGGCTCATCATAAAAATAAATCACTAGAACTGACTATAATTAAAATTTCAGTAATGTGAATTTCAACTCTGCTCCATCCTCAACCACACATGAGCAAATCAGAATATTACTTTCGATCCAGGAGCTTTGGACTTTTTCTCTTTTCTTTTCTTTCTTCTTTCTTTCTCTCTCTCTCCCTTTCCTTTTCTTTCCTTTCTTTCTTTCCTTTCTTTTTTTCTAGAAATAAGAAATGAATTGGAGCCCCTGGGTAGCTCAGTCAGTTAAATGCCTGACTCTTGATCTCAGTTCAGGTCTTGATCTCAGAGTCAAGCCCGATGAGTTCAAGCCCGATGTTGCGTTCCACGCTGGGAGCCTGCTTAAAAAAAAAAAAGAGAGAGAGAGAGAGAGAGAGAGAGAGAGAAGAAATAAGAAATGGATCACAGTTTCCTGATATTTAAATCCCTTTAAAACAGAAATGGAAAATTATCTAACACTTCAAACACACCATTATTTTGCACACAAGCTTAAAACAAAGTGGACCAAGGATACATTTTGAGGACTATATTCAGAGGGTCAGAAAATGTCCTTAAAGAGTGTATATTAAAAGGGTCCCCTTTAGCAGAATTAGTTGGCCTTGAAATGACCATCTTCACTTTCATGCCTTGTAGTCTAGCTATTAGTGGTTCTACTCAGGGCTCCACTTTGAGGTGTGTTTCCTGCCTTGATTTCTCTTAGGAGGATCTCCCAACATTAGTTTTGGTTGTTTTCCCATGACTGTCTCATTTTAGTGACCCTGAACACCTACTTTCCATACATCTTTTCTAGCTCTGATTATATTGACTCAAGTTGAAAAACTAGGAAGAGAAAAGATGGTTTTAAAAGAAAGAAAAAAAAAATACAAAGGGGGGGTGTTAAAGAATTAGGAAAAAAAAATAAGAGCATGAAGAAGCTACCATATGACTTTGTTTGAAAATACAGTCATTTAATATGTCAACATTTTGTTTTTTATTTTTAAAGATTTTATTTATTTATTTGAGAGAGAGAGTACAAGTGCGGGTGAGGGGCAGAGGGAAAGGAACAAGCAGACTCCCCACTGAGCATGAAGCCTGACTCGAGGCTGGATCTCAGAATCCCAAGATCATGACCTGAGCTAAAGGCAGACCCTTAACTGACTGAACCACACAGGCGCCCAATATTGTTCCTTTAAAAGCAGATTTTGGGGTATAGTGGAAACATTGCATGGGTAGTTAGTAGATCATTTTAAACATTTGATTCAAAGTAGCTCTCATACCTCTTCAGGCTTCAAGGAGATATGATTGCTGGTGGTCGGAGGTAGTGCCATGGTTCACCAAGACTAGAGAAAAAACTTCTTTAACTGTAAGAGGATAAGAATAGGATGACCATTAAAGGTGTGTGTATCTCTAATACACTCACAGTAGCTTTCTTGTAAAACAACCTAAGGCAGTGGGAAGTAAAGATGGCTCCCCTATTTAGGAAAGATAATAATGGGAAATGGTTGAGTAGAGAGAGAGCTGAGGGACACCTATAAAGGGTTAAGCAGGAAAATTATTTCCACCATAAGTTCTCCTAAGTATGGAGTAGGGATTCCTAAAGACGTATATAGTCTTGAAGCAGTCAAAAGTAGACTTAGCCAGAGTTGAATTACAGGCTCTGGGAAACCACTGACTTTTTGCCACAACAGCTTCAAACTTGGCTCTTTGGAGCTTTGGAGGAGTCTTAGTGCACTCAAAGACTTACTTTGTTTCTTTATCCCCAAAGAATATGTTTGAGCAATGGAAATAACAATTCCCAGCATACCTGAATTAGGACAGAAAGGATTTACCTTTGAGAAGAATATTTCTTCTCCTGGGTGCTTGATCGCTGTTGTCCACACATACAAATAGTTAATCAGGAAGGCTTAAGAAACCTGGAGGTATGAAAAGCCAAATGCTAGGATTTGTGAATACACAATTTCCAAGTTATGATCTCCACAGCTTTAAAAAAAAAAATCGCATTGGGAACAATTGGCCCCGAACATCCTTTTAACTATTTACCACTTATCTAAATGCAATGATAAAAATAACTTTCTAAGCCCAAAATGGGAGTGAGCCTGAATTTACAAGGTAAATCAACAATTTAATTAAATTTATGATTAACAAAACATGTTGTCACAAAAGTCACACTAAATTCATTAACCCCAGTTATAAGAATTAATTTTCTGTTCATACATGAATTGCATTTCAAAATTTCATTTTATTTTTTCAAAATTTGATTTTAAAGTATAGGAATCACTTTCAAAATGTTGTATAAATTTAGGGACGCCTGGGTGGCTCAGTTGGTTAAGCAGCTGCCTTCGGCTCAGGTCGTGATCCCAGCGTCCTGGGATCGAGTCCCACATCCGGCTCCTTGCTCGGCGGGGAGCCTGCTTCTCCCTCTGCCTCTGCCTGCCATTCTGTCTGCCTGTGCTCGCTCTCTCTCCCTCTCTCTCTGACAAATAAATAAAATCTTAAAAAAAAAAATGTATAAATTTAAAAATATATATTTCATATAGAATGCATCAAAATATTAAATTATGCTTTAAGTATTTTTTTACAATGTTGTCTTTTATCAATAATGGCACTGCATACTACTTTATGGTAATAGAACTACTTCTAGCATCTAGCTGTTTAGAGTCAAACCTAGCAAAACATTTTAGCAGACATCTATAGGAATACTTCAGAGCAGCAGTTCTCAAGATGTGGTCTTGAAACACTTGTAGGTTCTTGAAATGCTTTCAGGGGGTCAGCAAGGTCAAAACCATTTTCATAATAAGAATTAAGATGTTATTTGTCTTTTTCACCTCATTCTCTCACGAGTGTCGAGTTTTCCAGTAGTTACGTGGCATGCGATATCTCAAAAGATTGAATTCAGAAGCAGATATGAAAATCCAGCTGTCTTCTTTTAAGCTATGCATTAAAGAAATTTGCAAAAATGTAAAGGAATGCCATTTTTCTCAGTTCTTTTTCTGAGAAATACAGTTATTTTTAATAAAACTGTTTTATTTAGATTAATATTGGCTTATCATTATAAAATAATAAAGAAATACTTCAATGTTTTTCAATAGTAATTTCTAATATGGTATAAGTAGATAGATAGGTAGATAAGTAGATAGGTAGGTAAATAGATATAAACAAAAGCTCTTTGGGGGAGGTCTCAATTTTTAAGATTATAAGAAAGCCTTAGAGACTTAAAAAATTTTAAAAAGTTTACTGCTTTAGAGTGTTGATTAATAAATATCAAATCTTGCTTTTATATGTCCCAAATAAAATAATTATTTTAAAGTGACTTTGACTGTGGTTTCCAAAATCTTGCACACTTACCATTTTACAGTAAATCTGACAGGTAGGCAGGTTAGAAATTACTTTTATTTATAACATGAAGAAATAAAGAAACAAAGAATTTTAGATTGCACAGTAAGATCATAAGAGAACACAAAGTACTTTCAACTCTATCCCAATGATTTGGCTGATTAAGTCAGTTTCTCCTTAACCTATACAGTGTGATTGTGACATCCTGAAATAGAAATGTATTGCAACAGAACATGGAACCACCTGTAGCACTTTCACATTAAACATCTTCACTACCGAAGCTAAGTCAGTGCCCCTTACTGGAGTAGACAGCTAACCATAGTTCAATGCTCCCCTGTCATTCAAAAACATTGTTATTGCTAATTCGGTTTCTTCTTACAACCGCTAAGAGGTCCTCAGGTATACCCAATAGGCTGACTTCCACTTGAGAATGAATTCCTAAGTAGTAGTCTTTTCAGGCTTATCATGCAAATCCTCTGCTAAAGAACTTCTAATAGCTCTCACCAGGTCAAGTTTTTACTCTTCTGCTGTTTTCAGTGCTCTGATGATTTGGTCTCACATTACCCATTCAACCTTATTTCTTCTCCCTCTAACACCAATTATCTTTTCTAGGAAGACTGTCACCCTTATACTTGCCTCATTTTCACTTCCATAATAGCAATTAAAATTTACTATATTTTTTTGCACATTAATCCTTTAATAGCTCTGGGAAGTAGTCATTACCATTCCAGTTTTATAGATGAGGAGCCACGCCCAGAGAAATTAATATGACAAGCTCAAGATAACATATCTGGTCAACGATAGAGCCAATATTTGAACCAAAGTTTGTTTGGCACTGAGGCTAGTGCTCTCAGCCATTACACCAAATATATTACTAAGTCAATTCAATTCAAAAGGGCTAAATGACCCGATATTTTATACTTACACTGCTTAAAAGAAAACACCTAGGGGGCACCTGGGTGGCTAGTCGGTTAAGTGGGCTACTCTTGATTTCAGCGCACGTCATGATCTCAGGGTTGTGAGATCAAGCCCCACATCAGACCCCCGCTCAGCAGGGAATCTGCTTGAGATTCGTTCCCTCTTCCCCTTCTCTCCTTCCTGCCTCTCTAAAATAAAATAAGTGAATATTTAAAAAAAACCAACAACACACCTAGGCTGTTTACAAGAGACACATTTAAATATATATGAATACAGAAAGATTAAATAAAAGCTAAAGGATGGGATACCCCCCCACACACACTGGTGTAGCTAGAGTTCAATGCAAAAATTATTATTAGAAATAAAAAGGGATATTTGGTCATTGTAAAAGGTTCAATTTATCAGGAAAATATAATTTTGACATGTTTAATATATTGTTTTGAAGTATGGGAAACAAAGATTAGCAATACAAGGAAAATTAGATAAATCCATAACAATAGTGGGAGATTTTAACATGCTCCCATAACTGATAAAAATAAGTAGACAAAAAAGCCAGTTAGGATATTAAGATTTAAACAATATAATGATCAGGCCAAATTTGTATTTGGGGAACCCTACTATATCCCAAAACAAGAACAAATACAAATTATTCTTTTCTTTTTTAAAAATTAATTATTTTTTTTAACATATAATGTATTATTTGTCCCAGGGGTACAGGTCTGTGAATCATCAGGCTTAGACATTTCACAGCACTCTCCATATTACACACCCTCCCCAATGTAAATTATTCTTTTCAAATACAAATGAAAACTACTTGGAATTGAATAGTAACAAAAATACTGTTATCAAAAGGGGAATGAAGTCAATTACTTAGAGAAAAATAAACACATATATCAGAAAACAAACATCCAAAAAAGGCTGAAAAATCAATGAACTAAGCTTTCATTTCAAGAAAGTACAAAAATAAAAAGGAAAGGAAAGGAAAGGATAAGGAATATTAGCAGAAATTAATAAGAGAGAAAACATACATATAATAGCGTCAACAAAATAAAAAGTTGGTTCTTAAAAAAAAGTATATAATTGATAAATGCCTGGCAAACTGATTAAAAAAAAAAAAGATAGTGAAATAACCAATGTTGGGAATGGAAAGTGGGACATTATGGAAGATCTTATAGCCATTAAAATGATAATAATAATGAAAAACTTTATGTCAATAAATTTGGAAGTATAAATGAAGCGATAATTTCCTAGAAAAATACTGTCAAAGACTGAAACAAGTAGAAATAGAAAATCTGAGTAATCTTAAACTATTTAATCTATAAATAAAAACCTTTCCATAAAGAAAACTCTAGGTTCAGACCATTTATTTGATGAATTCTAACAAAGATTTAAGGAAGAAATAATAAGCAATTTTACACAAACTCTTCCTGAGACTTAAAAACCAAAGTAATACTTGCTAACTGGTTTCTTGGGCCAGCAAAAGCTGACAAATTCCTATTAGAGAACTAACAGACCAACTTTACTATATACAAAATCTTAAACAAATTTTAACTCGGTATTCAGTAATATATAAAAAAGCCAATACCTGGCTATTAAAAAGGCCAATACAATGACCAGGTTGGATTTATGTTAGCATTGCAAGGTTGGTTGACAGTGGAAAACTGATCCATGTAATTCACTGTACTAACAGGATAAAAGAGAAATCACGTGATCATCTCAATAGATGCAGGGGAAAAAAACCTGATAAAACTCAATATCCATCTATGATCAAAACTCTCAAAAACTAGGATTAGAAGGGGAGTTTCTTAATCTGCTAAAAGGTAAAAAAAAAAAAGAATAATCAGCAACTCACTTCAAACAACGGCAAAATGTTGAGAGATTTCCCTTTGAGATCAAGGACAAGATAAGGGTGCTACCCTCACAACGTCTATTCAACATTGTACTTGCGGTCCTAGCCAGCAAGGTAAGGCAAGAAAAAGAAGTACAAGGTATAAATAAGGATTGGGAAGAAATCAGCTGAAAAAAATCAACTGTTATTGTTCACAAATGATATAATTGTATTAGAAGATCTAAAAGAATACAATACAATATTGTAAGTTACAATACAATATTGTAATATTTATTCTTGTAAAAGAATACAATAAGTTAAGAGAGTGAGATACTGGCATAAGATAGACAAATAGACCAATGGATAAAATACAGAGTCCAGAAATACACTAATGCTGTATGGACACTTGACTTATAACAAAGATGGCAATGCAGAACAAGATCTTTTTGTTTTTTAAGATTTATTTATTTATTTTTTAGAGAGAGAGAACGTGTCTGCATATACAAGCTGGGGTGAGGGGGTGGGAAGAGGGACAGAGGCAAGGGAAAGAGAATCAAGCAGACTCCCCAGAGTGCAGAGCCTGACACAAGGCTTGTTCCCACCACCCTGAGATCATGACCTGAGCTGAAATCAAGAGTTGGATGCTCGACTAACTGAGACACCCAGGCACCCCTGGAACAAGATCTTTTTGACAAGTAGTGCCAAAACAGTTGGATACTCATATGGGAAAAAAAAAACAAACAAACAAACCCCAGAGACTTGATCTCTACTCCATAAACAAAAATCAATTCCAGTTAAACTATAAATGAAAGGAAAAACAATAAGGCTTCTAGAAGGCAATACGAGAGATTTATCTTCATTACACATTCACAAATGATGATATCCAAATGGTCAACAAACATACAAAAAAGGCCCTCGATCTCATTAGTAAAATCAGGGAGATATGAATCAGAATCACAATTAAGATAATAGTATATAATAGCTAAAACTAACTAGACTGACAATAACATATGGTAGAGCAATGTTCATATGCTCCTGGGATACATTTGTACACTCTCTGTGCAATAGTTTGGCATTTCATTATCCATTGAACATATGCATCCTTGGTGACCTAGTAATGTTGTTCTTACATGGGTACTTAACAGAAATTCATCTACATGTCTACCTCGAGACATATGCAAAAAATGTTCATAGCAACCTTATCCACAATTGTCCCAAATTGGAAACAACTCATGTCCATTAATTATAGAACAGAGAAACTCTGGTATGTGTGTGTGTGTGTGTGTATACACACACACACACACACACACACACACACACACATATTATATATATAAAGGAATATTATACAGCAAAGAAAATGAATGAACTACAATTACATGCAATAATATGGATGACTATCACAAACATAATGTTGAGTCAAAGAAACCAGACACAAAAGAACGTATCATATGATTATTTAAATTTAAAAAGCTGGTAAGGGATGCATGCTTAATTGTTAGAACCATAAAGAAAAACAAGGATATGTGTACTATGAAACTGAGGTTCGTGGTTACCTTTGGCAGATAGGAAGGGCTAAGCCATTCAGAGAGAGGGACTTCCAGGGTGCTGGCAATGTTCTATTTCTCAATCTAGGTAGAAGCTACGTGGGTGTTTGATCTGTGATAATTTATGCTTTGGTTCACTTTTCTCTGTGTTATATTTTACAATAAAAATGTATAAAATGCAAGAATTCCTTCATCAGGGAATTCCTTAAAATAGGTTATTCTGTTGATATATGCAAAATTTATAAATTTTGCTTCCTGAGAATTGGTGAGACGTGTATTCATACCTCAGTTTGGACAACAATGAAGAACTCAGCTAACTATTGCCTAGTGTTAGACTAAGCTCTCTTGAGAGACAAGTAAAAATTAATAGACCAGCAGCTCTGTAGAGAAGTAATGGAAATCAGTGCAGTAATGTGGTGCATGTGATTTGGTACTATCTCCTATTTAGACTTTTCTTGTGCCTCATGTCAGAAGAGGTATCATAAATGGAAATAAAAGCCATTCCATTTAAAATTCCTTTTGTTCTTAGGCTCACCCTTTGTTTCTGTATATGTGGTCTGCCCTTCATTGGATCTAGGTTATTAAGGGCCAAGTGTTCCAGGACCCAGAAGGAACAGGTGTGTTGAGATGGCCCTCCTGAATGTTATATTCACTGAGGTTTTGCTTTTTGTGGTAATCATAAGCATCTCAATGGACCATACCTTGTGTGGAACATTCTCTCTTTGAAATAAATTTCAAGGCACTCTGCTTGGGCTTTGTTCTTGTTAGGAGAGAGGGTAGGAAACCCTTCACCTACATCACGCTTATCCCACCCAACAGTATCATACATCTCCCCGCCCCACATATATCCTAACTCCTAATTAGCCTGATTATATCATGCAGATGAGGCGCTGACTTACATACTTTTGTATCTCCTAGCACATAGTAATGAATTAGGTACATATGTTTTTACTGCCTGTATTTCATTACTGTATATATATATATATATTTGAAAAAAATCTCTAATTTTTCCACTGAGCATTCATCCTCAGAGTTGGTGAGAAGTATATCCATTCCTCAGTTTGGACAACAGCGAAGAAATCAGTTAACTACTGCCTAGTGTTAGACTAAGCTCTCTGAGAGTCAAGCAAAAATTAATAGACCAGTCTCATTCCAAAAAAAAAATTCTGAGGAAGTTGTTGCTTATTCATAGCATTTTTGGCAAGAAAAATGCCAATTTTACATGACTGCAAGCAAATTTTAATGCTCTTCTAGTAGCATGTAGAAAGAGTGTGAGAAGCTTGAGGGTTAGAGTGGCTGAACTCTCAAGCTTGAGGAGACTTTCCCCTTCCAGCTCTCAGCGATTTGCCCCTGTTCCTTTTTGTCTCCATTTTAAATAGCCAATGGAGAAAAGGAGCAGCTACACAGGAGTTGGGCTCAGTGATTCCAGAGCTAACCTGGATATTTAATGTTGAACTATCTTTTAAGAGCTGGAGATCTGGTAGTTAAATCATCTTCCTCATTGTATGAATTTTCTCAGAACTATTAAGTAGTTCTTTTATATTAGTCAAATAGCTCCTGGGATATCTTAACTCTTTCACAGAGCCTGTGTTAGAAAGAAGGTGGTTATTTGGAAAGAAGGTGATTTCATTGGGCTTAGAATGCCTATGGCAACCCATTTTCTTACCATTCCCAAGACTTATCTTTGAATTGCTCATTATGCAAAAAGGAACTTTACTTCCGATGGTTAGATCTGCAAGGTGCACTGTCCTGTGAGATCCCCCTAATTTCACCAAGTGTTATTATTCAGAAAGTCATTTTGTAGAAAAGCAAGAAGTCCTAAGAACAGCTGTTGGGCAATTCTATCTGCAGCAATAAAGCCTGGCTCCATTAAAGGAAGGACATAGCATTTAGTAAGGAATGGAAAAAGAATCTCGGTTGCAACTCAGCCTTACCTCCTCAGGCAAGTTAGTGTCTCTGAGCTTCAGTTTTTTCATCCGTACAACGGAGATTACTTGAGATCTAGTATTAAGCACAGTGCCAGTCACTAAGTAGATGAGGAGAAAATGACCGCTATTTGCTCTAATGGTTACAAGCAACGAGACAGTTTTGAGTTACTTTAGTGACGCGGAGGGGACACGGGGAGTAAGCAGAGGCTCATTCAGAAGAATGGCGCTTCTTAAGCTGTCAGGTCCAGCAACACCCTGGTCCTAGGCGTCTGCCCTGTAAAGCTGCTCCGGAGGCCAAGGCGACACCCGAGGTCACCACCCTGAGTACTAGACCATCCCGGGAAGCTTGTGGTTTGGATTCTAGTCCAGCTCAACCGAGCCGTGTCTGGACCAATCCGGGACCGCTCACACTCACCTGCCTGGCAGGTGCTTGCGGTCCGAGGCGTGACCGCGGAGGGCGGGCAGGCGGGCGCGGTGGGCGGGAGCTGAGATTGCTAGACTCCCGGCGCATGGCACCCGCCGCCCAGTCGCCGCGGTGGCTGCCGGGATGCGCCGCAGCGAATGGTCGCGCCGGGCGCCACTCTAAGCGACCTTTCACCCGCGCCCAGCGGTCCGGGGCGGCGGCACAGGCGGAAGCCATGGCGGAGGCGGCGGCTGCAGCGGGTGGAACGGACGTGGGTGCGGGCTCCGGCTCCGCAGCGGACCGGGACCGGGACCCGGATCCAGACCGGGACCGCGCCGGGCGGAGGCTCCGGGTTCTCTCGGGCCATCTGCTGGGCCGGCCCCAGGAGGCTGTGAGTACCAATGAGTGCAAAGCGCGGAGAGCCGCGTCGCCGGCCACGGCGGCGCCCACTGCCACTTCCGCCGTGCAGGAGTCAGGCACCATCCCCAAGAAGCGGTGAGTAGCGGCTCTGTGGAGCTGGCTGGCGGTGAGACCAGGCCAGGCCTGTGCAGCGGGAGGGCAAAGGCAAGGTGGGAAAGGAGGTGACACCAGTGGGAGGAAAGCATCCCGGTCCCTGAAAGTGAAGAACCGTCTCGAGAGAGAGTGGACGAGACCCTGGACTCTGGCAGTAAGGGGGCGGGATGGAATGGTGCATTTTGGTCACTTTGAGAGTAACAAATCTGAAGGACTGTTATTGGGGAAGACTTCAGGGGGACCCGTTTTCTTGGAGTCTTAATGCCAGGAATTCATTATCCTGAATTAATACTTGGGGATAAGGTCTTCGAATGGATAGAAAGGTTTCTGACATGATCCTCCAAGATTTAAGTTTGCACTAGGTGATGGCTTTCTTCAAATTCGCGCTAGACTGGGAGTGGGGAGAGGTGGTTCTTGGGGGAAGGTGCTGACTGGTTTCTATGGGGGCAGGTTTCCATTTGCTTAGGGGCATGGTCTTTGACTTTGAAGGGAGAAAAGTGAGGGATGGGTAAGAAGCAAAAAACTTCAGATACTAGTTAAATGATTTAGGTTGTGGTGGTGACTACTGAACTCTGCTGTAACTAGAAGCTGAAAGACCCTTGCCTGTGGCTGAGGATGTTTTTAAGTGATCCTGGCTTACTACTTTTTGGAGAAATCTTAAGTGCTGATGGCAGCTACCAGAGAAAATATTTTCTGAGATGTGGCTTTGTCATGTGGACGAACTTTCAGAGTGGGAAAAAAAGTGTTGCTAATGTTTAATGATACTGTCAGTGTGCCAGAGATTGTGTTAAGTCTGTTATTTCTTTTACTCCTCTTCAAACTCTTGAGTTTCCTACAGATAAAGAAATAGAACAGATTTACAAAGTCTGCTTCAGATGTTGCATGTTAGAATTCCAGAGTAGGTTGTATTAACTCTAGGGTCAATTTCTTGTACTACTTGTGGTGAATTCATTTATTAATTCCACATTCATGAGTCCTTCATCTGCTAGTATTTACTCTACTGGGAATACAAAATGCAGTATTTACTTAAGGAACTAATAGCCTAGTAGGGTAAAGTCATAATACAGTGTGGTAAGAAATTTAGCTGATAACCATAGCAGATGGTCACTAACCCTAGTTTTAGGTCTGTATGTCAGGGGGAAGGCTTCCCTGAGTAAGGATTGAGTAAATCTTGAAGTTTGGGTTGGAAGTAACCTGACAAAGGAGAGAAGTGTTTTTGGCAGAAAAACAGTGTGTTCACAGATAAAGCAGCAAAAGACAGATTGGGAAACTGTTGGAAGTTCACTGGAGTAGGAGGGGGTGACAATGACAGAGGGTGAGGGCTGGAGGCAAGTCTTGTTTGCAGGATTTTATGTGGGGAAAAATATTACATTTACCTTTTAGAAAGGTTGGTTTGGGAACCGAATTGAAGAAGGTTAAGCGGAAGGTTAAGACTGGGAACCAAGACCTGAGTTTGGATTCCCACTACATGATTCTAGTTGCATGACCTTGGGCAAGTCACTTAACCTTTTTCAGAGCTTCAGTCCCTTGTCTGTGAAAATAAGGACAGTAATTCCTGCTCTGTAGTATTGCTGTGAGAATTCAGCAATACATAGTTAAGTGATCAAGTGCTTTAAGTGCATTGCTGGTTATATAACCCTTCAGAAGAAATGGTAGATGCAATTTTCATTGAGTCCAAGGACAGGGTAGCCAATTAGGAGACTATTACTCTGATGACAAATACTGCCATTCTGAACTAAGGCACAATATTGGGAGTAGGCAAATCTATTTGAAAAAATATTAAAACGTAAATTTTTTATAACTTGTTTACTGAATGATGGGGGAGGGAGGAATCAAGGATCACATCCTGGCCTCAGGCTTCACTTGATGTTATTTGAGCCATCATTGGGTTTAAAACTTTTTTTCTCCAAATGGCTTCATGTACATTTATGTCTGTTCATTTGTATGTATCTGTATGATGTACATTTTTATGCGTGTTCACAATCTTAGAACTAAGTAGGTAGGTCAGGTGTTCCTTATAGTTGGATTTAGGGGCCTTTATCTGCAGCAGTCAGAGAAAAATAATAATGTTTATAAGGCACACTGGGGTAATGAATGAGGCTTCCCATGGCTGAAGGTGACTGGTTTCTGTGGTTACTCCATAGACAGAAGGCACAACAGTTACCTATTGTTGGTGTAGATTATGGTTAGAAAGCTCTGGTCTTTGGTTCAGAGTTAGGTGTGGCTAGTGGTAAAATCTAGCCCTGTACAACTGTTTTGAAGTTTGAATCAAAATATGAGGGAACATAAAAACTTTTACTAGATGGAAGAGTGATCTCCCTTGGAGAGTGATCTACTTGCTATATTGTTGTTGGGGAGCCAAGGTCTCCCTTCAACTTCCTTCTGCCTAGCTGGGCTTCAGTTTGCCAGCAGCCAAGTTGAGTCTAAAGGGAAGATGAATGATGGAGCAAGGAGCCAGCATGTAAATCTAATAAAGTGTGAGTGTGACTGTTTGACTCTTATTTTGGAATCACTTGCTGATGTGTGTTATTCTTTTTTTTTTTTTTTTTAAAGATTTTGTTTATTTATTTGTCAGAGAGAGAGAGAGAGCAAGCACAGGCAGACAGAGTGGCAGGCAGAGGCAGAGGAAGAAGCAGGCTCCCTGCCGAGCAAGGAGCCGGATGCGGGACTCAATCCCAGAACGCTGGGATCATGACCTGAGCCGAAGGCAGCTGCTTAACCAACTGAGCCACCCAGGCGTCCCCTGATGTGTGTTAATTGTATAACTCCTCTCTGATTACCTTGGATGATGTCATTGGTTGTAATTCTTCTATCTCAGGGCTGGTTATCATCATGGAATTGAAGGAGTGACTTCTTGAAACTTCATGTTTTCATTTTCCTCACAGGGCCTTCACGTGTATGTTAATTTATCCAATGTTTATAGAATAGTTGCTTTATGACAAGTATCGTCCTAGGCACTGAAGGCGGAGAGATGAATAATTGTCCTCGCCTCAAAGAATTCACAGTGGTAAGGGAGATACACATTCCAGTACAGTTTGAGTAGAGCTGCTATGAATACAGATATAGATAGATGTAGCACAAAGGAAAGAAAGAGTGATTATCCTTGGGGTCAGGGAAAGCTTTCTAGAGACAGTTTTAAAATATGGATGATGGTGTGGCAGATTGATTGGATGGTGAAGACAGTTCCAGGCAAAGATAATAGCATATGGCAAAGCAAGGGGGCATGAAAGTGCATATTGTATTTAGGTAATTGAACAATTCAGTATTGGTAGAGGTGGGAGAGGTATAAAAAGAGGTGGGCCCTGGCTGGTCATGGAGGCCTTGGCCTGTAGATCATCAGTCCATTAATTCATTCATTTACTCATTCACTCATTCATGTGTGACTATTTCAGTGCTTACTATGCAACATACAGCAGCGGACAAAAACTCTGCCCTTATGGACTTACATTCTAGTTGGGGTGGAGATAGCAAATAAGTAATACAGTATGTCAGATGGTTATAAGTGTAATGAAGAAAAATGAAGCAGCCAAGGAGATTAGGTAACAGCAAACCCTTGAGGCAGTTAAGTTGGGAAGAGACTTGATCATATTGGGTTTGGGTTTGGATCCACGTACAGTGTTAAGAATAGACTGGAGAAGGATGAGAATGCACATAGGAAGACCAGTTAGGGAGCTGTTATAGTGGAACAGGTGAGAAATAATGAAGGATTAAATCAAGATGATGGCAGTGAGAATAGAGGAAAAGATGGATTTGAGTTTTGGAAATTAGTGCATTAAGTAATACATAAAATTATGTGACTCTATGCCATGGGAGTTTTGGAGCAATGATAATAGAAGAGGGATGGTAAAAGTCTTGAGCAACATGGATATTTAAGAGGGTGGGCCAATCATAACCTGTTGCACTTATCACGTTGGTCTCCTATGAGTTGGTTCTAATTACTTCTATCCAGGAACATATATTCTTATTATTTGAAATTGCTGAGCAGAGTTTTGAGAGTGATGAGTGATGGTTTGCTTTTGGACCCTCTGTTTTTCTTTAAATTGCATGAACAGTTTCTTTTTTTAATCTTGCTACTGGTTGCAGTTTTAGATTCTTGAAAATCATAGTAAATGCCAATTAAGTATGTGACACTTTTATACCTTGGTTTTGGATTTTTTCAGTTTAAAAAAAGCTATTGTAATGTTAGAAAAATGAAGAAAAAAATCCCTTGTGACATCCATCCCTCTGCACTGTTAACGGCTTTCCCAGTTGTGGTTTGGGTTAGTCAGAACTGTTCTATGGCAATTTTTACAGAGGTTATAAACTCTCCTCAGAACAAAAGAAGATCTGATTAAGACTGCTACCAATTGCTTAATATACTTATACTGCCATTTATGCACACCATTCTTTAAAAAATGATGTATTATTTAAGAGCTCCCAGAATCCTTAGTAGATGTTTTCCAGACAGAAAAAAGCTGAGTTGACCTTGTGTAAATGTTTCCTAGGAGGGCATCTTTGTCATGCCAAGTTTCAACCATTTATGATTAAAGAGATCATGATCAAGTACAGTGTCATATGGTTAAGGCACTAGTTTATATTGTACTTACTGAATAAATTAAAAAATATATGATCCTATCAAATTGAAATTCTTAATTTTTGAAAACGTAATGCATGGTTTTAAAAAATAGACCAACCTATTTCCTTCTATGAGTGGATTTTGCTGTTTCATTTGTGGGAGAGAACAATTTGAGAATAAAACAGAAACATACTTCTCTTAGATTGCAAGTATCATTTTGGAATGGACCACATTTTCTGCAAGTAGACTTCTTTATGTCAGGAAGTTACTTACTATAAAGCCACCTACCCCCAGTCACTTAATAAAAATATCTAGGAATAAATTAAGTGATCTATTTTTAGGCTGCAGGGGAGTAGAGTGCTGTTGTAGTCAGATGATGTACTTTATGGAACACTTTAAAAGGAAATGCTAAGCAAGTATTACTCCT